GTCCCTAGTTAAGGGCTCAATAGCTACAGTAGTAATTAGCGCACACACACACACACACACACACACACACACACACATACCAGGATTACTTCTAGGACCCCTAGAGAAAGGTTGAGTCATAGTCAAGGCCATGATCAACTTGGCTGCGACCCATGCCGGGAAACTCTCCAGACTCATTAGTGAGATTGAAGATTGGGAGGGATTGAGTAAGCCTAGAGAGACATAAGTGAGGTAAGAGTGCTGTGGGTAGAATTCAGCAGTATGCTGTGTTGGGCTGCATGTATAAGTAGCTGTAGCATGTATATATATAACATATATGTGAGATATATGTGTGTGTGTATATATATGTATGTATGTATGTATGTATATATATATACACATATGCATCATTGTTGTTCTTCAGTTACGTCCAATTCTTATGCCCATAATATTATGTCCATGGGGTTTTTTGGGCAAAGATCCTAGAGTGGTTTTGCCATTTCCTTCTCCAGAGGCAGAGGTTAAAGTGATTAGCCCAGGGTCATACAGTTAGTAAGTGTCTGAGGCTGGATTTGAACTCGGTCTTCCTGTCCAGGATCTACCCACTGAGCCAACTAGCCACATGCACACACACACACACAAACACACTCATGTGTGTATTATGTATATGTGTATATGCATATATACATATACATACATATATACATAATATGCACTCATAGAGCCATACACATGTATATATGAATATATAAGTATATATAGTTACATATCTATATGTATTCCACTATTATCTATTCATAAATGTGCATGTACAGATATGTCTGTGTGAGTTCTACTAGTGTCCTCATAGAGTCAAGACAAAATGAAGAACACCTCGTCCCTCCCCCAACTAGCTGAATGGGCCTCCAGTGGCTGACTTATTGTAGAACAAGGGACAAGAGTTGCCAGGGTGAGCAGACATGGGTGGACTGCCCTCTACCTCACTGGAGGAGGGAGGGGAAGGGAATAAGCTCCTACTGTGTGCCAAGCCCTGTGCTAAATCCTTGACACATATCATGCCTTTGGATTCTCACAACAACTTTGTGACATAGGTACTATTATTATCCCCATAACAAACATTTTTATCGAGCCTCCATGCTAGGCTCTGTGCTAAGTCCTTTACAAATGTCTCATTTGATCCCTACAGCAACCCTGTGAAATGATGTTCTTTTTATCCCCATTTTATAGTTGAGGAAACTGAGACAGACAGAGGGTGACTTGCCCAGGCTCACACAGCTAGTAAGTGTCTGAGGCCAGATTTGAACTCAGGTCATTCTGGCTGCAGGCCTGGCACTCTATCCATTGTACTACCTAGCTGCCTTTAACTGGAAGGAATACCCACATTGATTTGATCACAAATCCATTTGCCTATGAGAGAGAGAGAGGGAGGGACGGGGGGGGGAAGGGAGAGGAAGAGGGACAGAGAAAGAGGGGGGGAGGAAGAGAGAGAATGTATGTATCTGGGTGTGTGTGTAGGTGTATATACATGTAAATCTATGATCTATACCCTATCCTATCCTATCCTATCCTATCCAATCTATAGTATTTCCTTCACACTAGTGCTACTGTGGTACCTTTTTGTGGTTTGAAGGACTCTGGGATCTCAAAGGATGAATATGCCCCCAATAGGCCTGGCAGGCACTACTAAGATTTGAATTACCTACAATCTATCCTCACCTTCCTCACTAGGAGGTCAGCCCCCAAGTGGTGAATTTTTTCAACTATAATATCTCACCAAAACCCTTTGCCCTGAGATGTTGCAATCCATCCACTGTCTAAACAATAATTTTTTGATCTTTTTGGGGTGCAGTAGAGAGAATCATTTGGATTTGGAGTTAGAGGGCTGGGTTCAATTTCTGGCTCTGAAACTTTTCTCTCTGTGTGACTTTGCTCAAATCTCTTAAGCTCTCTGGGCCTCAGTTTCTCTTGAAGTTACTTCCATTTCTAAATCTATGATCCTCTGATCCTACAGTACTTTAAGGTTTACAGAGTACTTTTCTCCTTTGAGTAAAGTATTAGGATGTACTAAAATAAATGTTTAACCACACTCTCTAGAAGGAAGAAAAGATGTGTGCACAAACACTTTTAAATTTAATATGCATTGTTAACATTTTCTCTGTCCCTTTCTTAAGTGCAGACAATCAATAAATCAAGCCCTGATTTGAAGTGTTCACCAATTTCTGAGGTGTAAATGGGCTTACACTGAAAATTTAACAATTGGCTCTCCCAGAGCTGGTACAAGTCAGCCCCTGAATGTAGTGCAGGTATTATTATCCCCATTTTCCAGAAGTTAGAGTTTGGAAGGGATCTTTCAAGACTATCTAGTCCAAGGTCATTTTTGTTATGGCCCCTTTCGTAGTCTGGTGAAGCCTATGAACCCTTTCTCAGAATGATGTTTTTAAATGTATAAAATAAAATACGTAGGATTACAAAGGAAACCAAATATATCAAAATACAGTTATCAAAAATTTTTTAAAGAAGTTCACAGACTCCCAGTCAAGAATCCCTGATCTTGTCCAACTTCTACATTTTAAAGGTAAAGTAGACCCCAAAGCCCAGGGGGATAAAATAACTTGATGAGAAAACAAGTTCACAGTAATGAAGTTATGTGCCCCAAAACACATAACCATCTAGTGGTTGATCAAAGACTTGAACCTGGGTTATCTTGTCTTGTCTCTGTATCTCAGTGGTATGGAGTGGTTCATGCTTTTCTTCTTACCACCAAGGCTTGAAGAGCTTGGACTCTGTCCTAGTCAAGGGAGTGCTGAAACTGATGAGATCCTCAGTCCTATTTGTTAGCCCAAAGCATCCTCGATCTTTAAATGCATACTCTTTTTCTGTCTACATATTTTATGAAAGATTTTTGCATTGAACATTGAACCACTGGGTTATCTTTCTCTACAGTAATGTATTGAGACCAAAGAAATGTAGGGCAACAAGGTCTCCTTGTTTTTCTGTGAAAAGTGGTCATCAAGTTAGTCCCTTAAAAATCATAAGAGACTTTATCTTTTACAGTGTAAAATGATACATCTTAAAAAAACAAACAAACAGATCTCTTCTTCCCCTTAATATGAAATACCAAGCTCTGGCTAATTAGCTAGTTGCCCAAATGCTGGGGGGATCATTTTACTCAAAGCCATAGAATCTAGAGAGGTTTTGGTAATGAACGTACCCTCCTGTAAGACTTTGGAAAGAGAATCCAAAAACACGAAGTTCTGTCTGAGCAGTTTGGGGACAGACAAAGGTTAACTAAGACAGATTCGATTTTGAAATTAGAAATTTAACTTATCCCATTTTATGGAAAGCAATTTCAAAGTTGCTACTCTGTTATGAAGATAACTTCATCCCAGCATTTATTTAATAGTTAATTAGCAGGACCTCCTTAAAATACTTTGCCAAGAAAACACATCCAAAGCCACAATCCCAGCTAATATTGCCAAAGTGATGAAAAGAGATGGAGGCACCTTCACTTTCAGCTGATGATGTAGCAAAGATCCAGAAATTCCATAAAACTCAATCTAAAGTAAGTTACAAATGGCACCAATATCAGTTAATGGATAATGAGATTCCATTCTAATGTTGATAATGTGCAGTGTAAGTGTTTCTGTTTCTTAAATAGGAGATCTCTGACCGTTTAAGCAATTCTTTAGCACCAAGCATCCATAAGGAAGAGAATATTAAAAAGGCCATTATGTGTGTATGGGTGTGTATGTATGTATGTATGTGTGTGTGTGTGTGTGTGTGTGTGTGTGTGTGTGTGTGTGTGTGCGCTGCTTGGAGGTAATGAAAAAATGCTTGTAAATAAGCCACACACAAGGGGAACCATCAATGTCTTATTAATAGGTGAGAGCACACCAAGTTAATAGTGCATTGATAACTTGTTTTTATTGTCCTCTCCTCATCATGCTTCTGTGGTTCTGTGATGGATTATTAGCAAGAAAACAAAAAGGCAAACTTATAAAATTACCCTGTCATCATTTTCTCAGATAAAAATGGGTTGGCTTTTTACTGGAAATGCTATAAGAAGAGTATCTGACCCTTCCCCCCCCCTTTTCTTTTAACATTCCATGTCCTATATTCCCTCCTGTTCCCATCCCTAAACCTCCCCAAGTGCATCCCAACTCCCTCCTTCCAAGCATAACCAGGAACCAGGGATGGAACCTCTGGGTCTGGCTGAAGGTCCAGTTAGATAATTCAACAATCCCCCAGGAATGGAACACCATTAAAATTCATTCTGGCAGCTCTGTTCTTATGTGGTCTAGGCCTCCTATGAATGTAGGATGTTTCCCTTCACTTTACCTAAAAATGATTTGAGGAAGGGGGATGTCTTTCCTTCTACACCTTTCATTCAGTGCTTTATTTAGTACCTACTGTGGAGGCAACCTACTGGAACATGGCAGCATTGGCTTCCTCTGACTGGCACTTAAATCTCTTCCCAACCTGGCCCCTTTCTGTCTACCCAGTCTTAATGCACATTATTCCTTTCCATGAAGTCTACAATCCAGTGACACTGGCCCCCTTTCTGTTCCTGGCACACAACCCTCCCTCTCTTTACTCCAACCCTTTTCCCTGGCTGTTGTACATGCCTGGACTTCCTGGTAAAAAGTCAAGATGAAGGTACTTAAAAGGTTGAATAATTTGAACACACACACACACACACACACACACACACACACACACACAACTAAAGAAACAGCATGGGGTAGTTAAAAGAAAAGCAGCTAGGTGGTGCAGTGGATAGAATATCTGGTCTGAAGTTAGGAAACCTCATCTTCCTAAGTTCAAATCCAGCCTCAGACACTTACTAGCTGTAGGACCGAGGCAAGTCATTTCCCTCTATTGCCCTCAGTTTCCTCATCTGTAAAATGAGCTGGAGAAGGAAATGGCAAATACTCCAGTATCTTTGCCAAGAAAACCCCAAAGGGCATCAGAGATGACTGAAAATAACTAGGCAACAACAACAGTTAAAGGAGAACTTACCTTGAAGTCAAGAGAGACCTGGGTTTGAATCCTGCCTTTACACTCATCTTCTTGATCTTCAGTTCTTTCGTCTATAAAATGAGGATGAAACCTATAAAGTAAAATGGAGATAATACTTCACAGGGTTGTCATTAGGACCAAATGTAATTCGAGTAAAGCATTTTGTAAACATTTAAGTTGTCACCAAGCATTGCTGTTGTGTCCAACTTTCTGAAACCCCATTTGGAGTTTTCTTGGCAAAGATACAGGAGTAGTTTGCCATTTCCTTCTCCAGCTCATTTTACAGATGGGGAAACTGAGACAAACAGGGTTGAATGACTTGCCCAAGATCACACAACTAGTAAGTGTCTGAAGCCAAATTTGAACTCAGGAAGATTAGGCTTCCTGGTTCCTATCCCACTGCTCTATGCACTGAGCCACCTAATAGCCCCAACAAGCATTTAGTAATCACTTAAGATGTATCAGACACTGCTAAAAGTGCTATGGATACAAAGAAAATCCAAGAGTCTTTGCCTTAAAGGAGCTCATGTTCTAACGACAGACACAACATGTAAACAGGGAGGGACGTACAAGATATATACTGAGTAGACAGAAGGCAATTTCAGCGGGAAGGCACCAGGAAAGGGGCAGAGGAAAGTGAGAGATAGAGAACAGCTTCCTGAATGTTGTGGAGTTATTAGCTGAGTCTTGAAAGAAGCTTGGAAAGTACAATATAAATGTCAGCTGTAATTATTAAACCACATTCCAAAGCAGTAAATCTATCTACTAGGAAGAAATGAGGAGCATAGTCTTATAGCCTTATGGCTACAGGAACACAGAGAAATTCTGTGGACTGGCGGGATCTTGGAAGGCTTCCTGGAGGAAATGCAATTTGAGTTTTCTACCTTTCTCATGACAAGAAGAGGGTGTGTAGGGGGTGTGTCTGTGTTACCTACATAGGTTATGAGTGTCTATCTAGATGGGACTCACAAAGAAGCATTAATAAATATCTATAGAATATCCTCCACCCACCTTTCTCCAAGAGAGACTTTGATTCATTCCAGAAAGAAAAGCAGGAGATTGGCACAAAAGGCTGACTATTCTGCTCTCCTCAGAAAGGCGGGGTAAAACTATATCTGGCTAAAATAGCACCTATCTTCCTCCATAAATATTTTTATAGGGAAGATAATTCTTAGGTTCAAGCTCAGCTTTTGATCCTATCCCTCAATGGGGAAGGAGTACCCCCAAGCTATATATCCAAGGTTTGGCTTCTTCCACACCCAATTATCAGTTCCACAATGAACACGTAAGATAGACAGCAAATAAATGCATTTATTCAAGTGCATAGCAAGCAGGAATCAGAAGAGGTATACAGATGAGAATATATGACCATACACAGAGTGAATGAGTTTTCCTGTTAGGAGTGAGTTACCTCAGCTCAACTAAAGAAAAGACCCAGATCCTACCACAAGGGAAAATTCCCTGGAGTCTCTAATGTAGTAAGCTGGGGATAGAGACATAATGGAGCTATTGGCTCTTTTACGTGTCACCTTCTTCCCAGGGTCTTTCTCTGTCTTCAGTGGCCTCTCCCTGAAGAGCATCTGGAATTGTGTCTTTTTTCCTTAAAGCTAGAAGTAAAAAAAAAAACAGGATCTCTATTTTCTAAAGCTCTCACCAACCTTGTTCCTCATACAAGCATGGAGCATTGAATGCCCAATCTCTACTAATGAAGAGAATATTAGGCAAAATGGACTTTGATACAGGGGTTACATAAAGAACCATAATACAAAATATTATGATGAGTACTCAAGAGAGATTCAAAGTAATCTGTGACTTTGTTGGAAAATATTCCTGGAGTTTTATCTGTCCTTTGCTTCATCCAATTAGCCATAACTGGCACTATACTGTGTTTAAGATTTGCAAGTGCATTCACATTCATGATCCCATTTGAGACTCATGACAACTCTGTGAAATATACTTAGAAACATCAAACGGTATTCAAACTCCTCTGTCTCTCTGTGTCTCTCTGTCTCTGTCTCATCCCTCCTTCTCTCATAATTACATTCTATGTAAATGTCTCAGTAGCTTCCAAATCATGCCCTGTTACCTTGTGAATTCACAGGTTTCTAATTCTCCTTGAATTGGGGTCACCTTTCTGTTTCTGGATCCTTCACTCCTACTCCTTTCCTATGCCACCCCCTACTGCTTCCCATAACCCAGACCAAATGCTCTGCTTTTTTATAAAAGGACAAGCTGGAGATCTTTGGGTGTTCCTTCTTCAGTGTTCTCTCAGAATTCCACAAAGCACTAGACTGTAATTATGGCCACAACAAGAGCTATGGCAAAAGTGTGAGTATTTTTGGTATTTCCCAACACCTAATTTTGCATTATCCTACTGTGCATTCACGAACTAGTCAAATGAATTTGTAAACTACAGAGACCCAAGTTTTTCATTTGACAAAATTCTGAATCTCAGATTGAATAGAAATTCTCTTTTTGACACAATTTCTTATGACTTAATTAGAATAGCAATTCTTAGCATGTGCGTGTGTGTGTGTGTGTGATAGACACTTTTGGTCAAATCTGCCTGGTCAAATCTATGATCCCCTTCCCAGAATAATGTTTTTAAGTGTATAATATATGTAGGATTACAAAGAAAAAATAAGTATGTTGAAATACAATTATAAATTTTTTTTAAAAAAACCTAGTTCATAGACCCCAGGTTAAGAACCTTTAGGGTTCAAAAGAGAGGCAAAAACCTTTTTCTTTACCTCTAGTTATTTCCAAATGATGCTATAGGTGACTGTGAGCCGTGAAATACCCTGTTCTCAAAAGAATCACAAACATAAATAACACAAAGGGCAGTAGAGAGAAAACCATGCATCAGTGGGATGCAAGTGTTAACTAATGATTACTTGTCCACAAGAAGTAACATAGGAGAGAAAGTAAGGCATGGTGGGATTGGTGGATTTGGAGTCAGGAAGAAATAGGTTCAAATTCCTCTTCTGATGTTTATCATCTGTCTGACTTTGGGCAAGTCACTCAACTCTTTGAGCTCAGTTTCCCATCTGTACAATGAGGATAATAGCACTTATAGGACTGTTATGAGAACCAATAAAATACTGTATGTAAAGTACATTACATGCTATATACATGTTCACTATCATCATTACTATAAACAATATTTTCAAAGACATATAAGACTACAAAGGCAGTCCTTTTATGTAGCAAGAATGAGAGACAATTGGTAGACAGTACAAATGGTTCATTGGTGCCAGCAACTTACTAAAAGAACAAGAGAAAGGATTCTAGTTGGTCAGACTCCCTGCAAAAGATTTACAGGAAACCATAAACAAGAATCACATATAATGAGAAAGGTTAGAGGGGGTTGCAACTGGCATCAGTGAAGGGAATACATTGCCCATGAAACCACAGGCCCAACAAAGTATTGAGAAATTATATTTATTCTGAGTTACTAATTTGTGTTCTTATAATGAAACAACAAAAGTGGTGGCAAAACTGAGTAGAGTAAAGGTTAGGAGCGTATTTGATAAATAAGGGCATATCTACTGGAAATGTTATAGGCAAATGAAAGCATTTCTAGCCCGAAGATTGTTTAAACCCATTAAGAATCTATTAGATCCAGTATTGGTGGTGCTGTGAATTCATCTAGTAGGCACTCTGGAAAGCAATCTGAATCATACCCCAAAAGTCACTAAAATGAACTTACCCAGCAAATACCCATATTAGGCTTATACTCTAAAGAAATAAAAAGAATAGGAAAAAAATCTATATGTACAAAAATATTTTTGCAGCTCTTTTTGGTTATAGCAAAGATATGGAAACTAAGGGGTTACTCATCAGTTATGGTATGTGAAATGTAATGCAATATTATTGCTCTTTAACAAATTATTAAAGGGACAGTTGCAGAGAAATATGGGAAGACTTGTATGAACTGATGCACAGAGAACTGGGCAAAACTTTTATGAAATGATGCAGAAAGAATAGAGCAAAACCCAGAGAAAAATGTATACTATATTTAGAAAAAGAGAATTTAATTTAAAAAATGTATACCATGACAAAATTTTATATAAAAACAATGTTGAAAGATTTAAGATGTTTAAAAAACAATGATGACTCCAGAGGACCAGAGATGAAGCAGAAGACACCTCCTAACAGAGAAGTGATGAATTCACAATACAAAATGACACATATGGTTTTGGACTTGGCCAATATAGGAATTTATTTTGCTTGATTAAACATATTACAAGAATTCTCTCATTCTCTCTCTCTCTCTCTCTCTCTCTCTCTCTCTCTCTCTCTCTCTCTCTCTCTCTCTCTCTCTCCACCCCAACAGGGGTAACAAAGATGAGTAATGGAGTTTTCAAGAAAAAGGGTCATTAAGACATTTGAAATGCACAGAGGAACGCAGAAAGAAGGATAAAACGAAACAGATAAGAAAGATAGCTTTGAAAGTTATCATTTTGTTGTTGAATTTATGTACATAAAAGGAAGAATCTGTATAATACAGATTCATGGTTGCACGTATAATCCTTTCTGTCCTTGCAAGTGGAAATGCTCATTTTATTTGGTGTTAAGTTCAGAATATTTTTAAAGGAACCTACAAGCTGATTTACAACAATGATTCAAATTTCATATTTATGTGGCCTCTTTTAAAGGCACTTTCACAAAGGCTGACCATTCAGGTAATTACTTGAAATTTTTCATTATCTGGAAGTGTCTTACACTGTCCTAATGTGTGGTGTGTGCTATGATGCACAAGGAAAAAGAGAATGCATCTCTTGTTTCATTTCATGTTTTCAATGGTTGGGGAAACATGCCATGAAGCATGAGATAGTACTGATGATCCAAATGGAAAGGATGTGTCAGAGAAGGATTTGTTGCCATATGAGCATCTCAGCTGCCTGGGTAGCTTCATTCCCCACCCCCTAAAACTATTGTAATTCTCGGTTCTGTGGTTACCTTGTCTCTGGGAAAAATAGCAATGTCTGTTGGGCTGAGCTCTAAAAATATGCTTTAGCTACTTCAGTAGATAAAATCCTCAGAAGCCTGGTATTTTTTTTTTCTTTTTAAAGCAATGGCCTTCTGACTGTCCAGTCCAGGCTATATAAAGTACCTTAATAACCCACCTTGTCATTTACCTGTCATGTTAGGTAGGTGCACCAACAATTTAGGAACAAAGGGATTCTGAAACATTCATAAATTTGAGGAAAGATATAGAGTGAGCCACAGTGAGACAAACAGGGATTGTGAAGCAGATGGACAAGTTAATTTGAACAGGAGGGAAAGAGAGACAATTTTTAGCTTTTTTTAAGCTTGAATTTAGTGATTTGGTGTGAATAAGAATAAAAATGGAGCTAAACTTCTATATATTTACATATACACTCCATTTTTTGGAAGGAGTTCCAAGTCATCTCCTACTGTGTTCTGGCAACTGAAGGACTGCTGATGGAATAGTGATATTTAGAGGTTGGTTCTTAGGAAAGGTTCTTATTCTATGAATCTGGAGATTTATATCTGTGTGTGTGTGTGTGTGTGTATGTGTGTGTATGTGTACACACATATACACATTTATGAATATGTGTCTGAGTACCACACACATATATATGTATTTTGGGGGGAAGCATGACTTTATATGATGCACTGCATTTTTAAAAAATAAATACTTATTTATTGGTTGACTGATTCAACTTGTCAGTATATAATTCAGTGATCTGCCCATACAACTGCATATCATAGTTTGGGTCTATTATCCACTTGTTTTTTCATATATGTATACATACGTGTATATATATGTATATATTTTTAATGTGTTGCATTTTTAACTACCACTGTGCTCTGTTAGCCATTTGTTTAATCCTGCCTAGTAAGGGTCAAGTCTTGTCAATACCACACTCATCCCAACAGCTATGCTATTCATTCAGCACTAGAGGGCACTGTAGGGAAACACTAAGCTCTGTAGATCTCAGAAAGCCGGCTAATTGTCCTTTCGCTTCTCCCCTGCTGTGGCTGGCCATGCTTCTTAGGTTAGTCTAAGGGTATGGTCTGTGTACATATACCTTATTAAAGTCTTGGTTCAGCTTCCACTCACTGTAGAAGCTGTCTTTTTCCCTTCATTCTGTGTTCAATCATGCTAGAATGACATAATGGAGTTGCTCACATAAGCACAGTTTGACCATGCACAATTCTTTATCAGAGCCACCTAAAGAAAAGTAATAAAATCACAAAATGAAAATAAATTTCTGTGCAAAGCCATGCACCTACAGCTTCCTGCAGACTCAGATACCCTTTAATCATTCTATTAACACATTTCAAATCCAGGAATTCTAAGGACACAGTTCAGGCACTTAATAGCTAACATTCATATAATGCTTTAAGGTTTGCAAAGTACTTTACAAATATTATCTCATTTGATCCCCACAAAAGCCATGTGAAGTAGGCGCTATCATTATCCTCATTTTCAGATGAAGAAACTGAAGTAATGATTTAGGCTCACCCAGGGTCACACAGCTAGTAAGTGTCAGGTAGGATTTAAATTCATGTTTTCCTGTCTCTCAGTCCAGCACTTGATCCACTGTACCACTTAGCTGCCCAACTTAGACTTAAATCTCCCTATCAGAGGATCCCACTGCCTTTGCTATTCTGCTCAAGGCTTCCCTGAGACTCACTGTCTCCTCAATTGAGGAAATTCAAGGCTAGGGAACTAATTTCTCTTTTAGTATCTTTCCTTTTCTCATTTCTCTGTCATTGGCTGGGACTTCCAGTCCTACCCTCTGATTGACTTCAGCTGTTTAGAACCCTGATCATTGCTGATAGTTTCTTCACCACTAATGGAACAATGGGCAGCCTAGGTACAAAAAGAAATTCCTCCTGCAGTGTCTATCATTCCTCACCCTCAAATTCCATGTTACTACAAAGTCAAGGTGTTAGGTAGCATGGCAGGTTCGGGTATAAACTAGAACTGATCTTTGTCTGGATGGAGTTTATAGTCTAGTAAGGGAAATAATGAATAGGAAAGGGACTGGGTTTGTGATTTCATAAATATAGGGAAGTCCTAGATGAAGAAACTACTTCTACAAGTGCATGTCACCACTTTATTTATAGTGATTTATTTTATTTTCAATTCAATTCATTGCCATAACACGGTACAATTAAAAAAAATATGATTACACATGAAACTGCAAACCTACCATGTACAATTTGCTATTACCTCCAAATATACAACAAAATTATCATGTAAATTTCTTTTTTTCCCCCATTTTTTCTGCCCCCCACCCTAGAAATAGTTACCATTAGAAACAAGTAAGCAAAGGAAAAAGAACTCAACCATTGACAGCTACTTTGGTATAAAAGAAGATCTGGGTTCATATTCAGAGGAAGATAGTGAGGCAAGCCATTCCTACCCCAAATGGTAATACAAAATGGTCTTCATAGTAATTTTGTGGCCTTGGAAAATTGCCTGGGGCACCAAGAGGTTAAGCCCACGTTCACATAGCCATTATATATATGGCAAAGGTCTTCTTGATTCCAAGGCCAACTTTCTATCCACTACACAAACTGCCTCACAGGGGAGATAACACACATACTAAAATACAAGGTATAATGTGGAATAAAGATTTCTTCATCTGAATGCCCCCCAACACCTCAAATTCAATGTGTCCTAGCTCAGCTTATTCTTTTTTTCTCTTAAAACAGCTTCTCTTTTTCACTTCCGCATTTCCGTCCATGATAATATCATTTACTCAGTGCCCCGTGTTTGAAACCTTGCTGTTTTCATTGAGTCTTCCCTTTCCTTCCCTCATCTCTCATATTTAATCAGTTACCAAATCCTATAAATCCTACCTCTAGAATATCTCTTGTCCTTGTTTTTCCTATTTATTTCTACTGGCACTACCTTAAGTATAAGCTCGCATTTCCACCTACAAGGAGTATTGTAATAGTGTAACATATCTTGCCACTTCTACTCTCTCCCCGGTGTAATCCACCCTCCCCGTAACATACATATTGATGTTCCCTCAAATACCTGAAATTCCTGATTCCTTAATCTATTCACTTCCATGACATAATTACCACTCTCCCCCAGTAACACACAGAGATAGTCATACACATGACCTCCACATTACCCATAAGCATTCCACCTCCACGTTCACAAACTCTGAAATTCCTTTATCTGATCATAATACTTTATCATCACATCATATCCTAAGCCTTACAGCCCCTTGCCCTGTTTTTCTTCCTCATTGAGACCTCCATTCTTTCCACCCCTCTGTTCTTTCCCAGCCCATGACCCTTGCACTAGCTACACTCTTCTCCTTTCTCTAGTTGGTCTCTGGATAATCAAGATTTTACTTCTCTACTCTGTGGTATATCAGAAATAACAACTAGTACCTTGAAAGAGTTGAAGAAATGCTTCAAAGATAAAACAGAAGAAAAATTCATCTGAAGAAGAAGTTGGTCCGTTGTTTTTCAGTCATGTCTGATTCTTCATGACCCTTTTTTGGGTTTTCTCGGCAAAGATACTGGAATGGTTTGCAATTTCCTTCTCCAGACCATTTTACAGTTTAGGAAACTGAGGCAAACAGGGTTAAGTGATTTGCCCAGTGTCACATAGCTAATACCTGTATGAGGCCCAATTTGAACTCAGGAAGATGAGTCTTACTGACTCCAGGCATGGTGCTCTGTCAACTGTGACATCTAGCTGCCTTATGAAGAGGAAGAGGGGACTGACTCAGTCTGTAGCAAGAAGTTAGAGCATGGAGGAATGAGACTCATAAAAGGAAAAGAAGGACGACTGAGCATTTGGATCTATATAATTGGTAGAAAATTCTTCCCTTAGAGGGTAGAACTGGACTTTCTAAGTATCCCCAAGGAATGATGTTTTTGATTTAAAAGTGCAACCAGGAAAGAAATCTTTTGGTCAGAAAAATCTGACCAAATCAAATAATATATGCAAAGTGCTTAGCATACCTTAATGTGCTAAATATATATTAACTATAGAAAGAAGAGATAAATAACATTAGGGGCAATAAAAACTACAAAGGAAGTCATTTGTCCAACTAATGTGTATAATACAGAGGTTTTGTTTCTTCCTATGACATGATGAAGTGCTCATGATACCTACTTGTCAAATCTATCAGATGCTAAAACTGTCATCGGTTAATTAATGTGGTGCCATGTGATCCCGCTAAAGCAACCTAGCAAACAAAATTGGGATTTATGAAGTCTTTTAAAAAATTTTCATTAATTTATTTTGATTTATCAACAATCACTTCCATATGCTTTTGAGTTGAAAATTTTTCTTCCCCTTCCTTCCCCCCCCCCAAGACAGCACACAATCTGATATGGCCTTTACATTTATATACCCATGTAACATATTTTCACATTAGTGAAGTTGTAAGTAAAAATTAAAACCAATAGGAGGAACCACTAGAAAGATGAAACAAAACTCAACAGAAGGTAAAAATAAGTGATAGCGATTTGACTTCCATAGTCCTTTCTTTGGATGTGGACAGCATTTTCCATCCCGAGGCCTCTGGAGATGTCTTAGATCCTTGTAATGCTGAGAAGGGTTCAGTTTAACAATATTAGTCATTGCATAATGTGGCTGTTATTGTGTACAGAGTCCTCTTGGCTCTGCTCACTTCACTCAGCATCAGACCATATAGGTCTTTCCAGGTTTTTCTGAAGTCAGCCTGTTCATCACTTCTTATAGCACAATAGTATTCCATTACATTCATATACCACAACTTGCTTAGCCATTCCCCAATTGACGGACATCTTCTCAATTTCCAATTCTTTGCCACCACAAAAAGAGCTGCTGTGAATATTTTTGTACATGTGGGTTCTTTTCCCATTTGTTTGATTTCTTTGGGATGTAGCCCTAGAAGTGCTATTGCTGGATCAAAGGGTATGCACATTTTTGTAGCCCTTTGGGCATAGTTCCAAATTGTTCTCCAAAATGGTTGGATCATTTCACAACTCCACCAACAATGTATTTAGCGTTCCAGTTTTGGGGTTTATGAAGTCTTAAGAAAAAAATAACAAATCATCAGAATATACAGGCAGTGTTTTCATTCCTGTTGTGAGATGATTGAAGGTAGGATTGGGAAAATGAACAGCTGGTTAAGAAGATGCCACCTGGGGTATAGATTTCTTCACCATAACTTAAAATACAAGAATGATGGGGACCTTTGTCGTGGATGAAGTACACCTTAAATGGGCCAACAAAAAGACACTGGCCTACAGTCTTAAGAATTTAAGTGGCCATAAAACTGAAATTGGAGGAGGAGGGAGAAAAATGCCCACAAGTGTCTGCCAACCCTGATATCATAGAGTAGCAGCTATATTACAGGAAAAAGGGTAACAGGAGAGAGGATCAGTAATTCGCAAAAAAGAACTAGTAATAAAACCCATAGTGGCAGTTTTCTAGAAACACGTGGACAAAGTGTAGGTGAGAAGCATAGTGGCTTAGAGATCCTAATCTATCTTAATGAAACTTGGTTGGATGGGACTTGTAACTAGAATACTTCTCTGGAAGGGAAATTTTTTATTGTTTTTATTTACTTATATTTATTTATTATATTATCTTTATTCAAAACTTTAAGAATAAATAAGAGGGGCAGTAGAGTAGAATTATGTATCAAGATACGTGTGATAGCGAGCAAAAGACTGAAAAGAGTTTCAGAGCCACCATCCACTGACAACCATTGTGCAGACACTGCAGGAGCTACCGCAATTATGAATTATAAGGATCTGGTGTAGCAGTTGAAACTGGCAGAGTAGGTAGAGGGCCACAAAATGGTGGAATCAATGAAGAAAGTAGCAGCAATGGATGTGGAATTGACAATTGAGGAAAGACATGTCCATTTCATATGAAAATGTAATTGGAGCCAGAAGAGCCTCCTGAAGGATATTGAGCAGCATGTTAACATGAAAAAAATAAGAGAGATGATAAACAAAAGATGATATAGAAGATTGGCAAATCATTGAGATTGAACAAAATTTAATCTGTTGTGATATTCTGGCCATATCGGACAAAGGTTTCATTTGAGTAACAAAAACTGGTGAATCTAAGGTTTTGCAGGGTGAAATAAAAGGAGACTCCCACAGATATCCGGCTGAATTTGTCAGGGAACAGACAATAGCCTATAGTGCCTTATAAAGCAGCTGATAAAGCTGCTAGTGGTATTTCAGTGACAGGAC